GTGCGTTGGGCAAATAGAATCCTTTTTATTGCAGTTAATTCAAAATATTCCTATGCTGGCTGTACTAATTCTTCAAAACTTTCCATCATTGACGTCATTGATTTGACTCATTTGCATACAACCAATCAGCGCGCCGGAAATTATCGATTTCCTTTACTTTGTGGAAAGGTGAATATCTATATTTTAAGTTTAATTTTACCTAAAAAAATTAGTTGGACAATTTTCAAGATGGCTGCTGAATTCAAAATTCATTTTGGCTACTTTTTAAAGTGGCCATTTTGAATTTTCTATCTAAAAATCTTGTTTGTAAAGTCTTCTCTACATGTTTTGAGCCAAACTATTTCATGAATCAATCTAAAAATTTTGGGTAAAATTTTTTAGGTGGACTTTTTGTCTCAAAAACTGGTATCACAACACCATGTGAGCCTAGGATCCATAGTACTATTTATTTAGTAAATAATTTAATTTTGATAAAAATAATGTTTCTTCAGATTTGGTCCATGTTTATACATGTTGTAAGCTGTATATGTCTTGTAAGAATAGGATTTCTGCTGAAGAAAGTTTCCAATATGGCAAGTCAATTCAAAATGACTTGACATTTTTGAATACTTATATTGAAAGGAAGGGATAGTCGGATGGGTTTTGTAGCACTTATTCATGAGAAAAAGATCTCTTGAACATTGTTTGTGTGTACAATCATCTACAAGAAAGCAATGAAATTATTCTAGAAAAGAATGTTCTCACAACAGTCTTTTCAATTTTTGACATAACATATTGGACAAGACTCGATTTGATATGCATTGTAATCAAAAATATTTTTAGTAGCTTTTATTAAAGAACCTTTGGCCCTTGATTTTATCTTATATTTATTTTATCCTCTGCAAATACCATGAAGTGAAGGTGTAGGCTGTACTGTATAATAGGGTGTCCCAAAAAATCACTTTTTTGGAGTTGAGCTTAGCACAGTTGGGGTTTGGTTCCTTTTGGGGAGTTTATTAAGTGTGTAAAATATTATAGAGACAGATCGATGTTTCAGTTGTTGGAATTAGACCTAAAAATGTAACGTTTTTGGCAAAAATCGCACTTTTTGACCAGATTTACTGAAGAATAATGGAAACCTACCTCACCTTCTGTTCATAAAAATGAAGGCTAAATGAAAGGTTGTGCATCACATTACCACTCTAAGTAAGAATACTGCTGAAATTTGGGTATATACCCTCCAAAAAGACTCTGAAATGAGGCTAAAAATGACATATTTTAAGATTGAAATCAATGGGTAACATTCATACGTATTACAAATGTTTTATTTAGCTATAGATATGCAGATCACATAAGTAAGTTCAGATCAGTTCTTCAGGTCAGTTCTTCAGATAAAATTGTCCATATTGTCCATTTGTTGTTTGTTAAGGTTTTTAAAATCAAGAAGCTGGCGGTGATGGTTAACCACCATCTGAACACGATCGCGGCGATCCACACCCTTACCGTAGTTTGCGAACTCGGTAACATCCTTGATTGCCCGTTCTGCACAATCGTTAACTACTTCCATGGAAGTAACGAGCTCCTTAAATCTAATATACTCTGGAAACTGATCCCAGTTGTCGGGATTAAATTCCATCCAGTGTACATCTACTTGAAAGAGGTCAAAAATTAACCATGACCTTTCCCCACCAAAGTTTTCAAGCGTGACGTCCCCTGGTCTTGTTAACAAATGATCTTTCATTTGTGTTTTCTGTGGAGGAAAGTTCTGGGGACGACCTGCATCTATCATTACTCTGATGATCTCAGATTTCTTCTCACCCTTGATGTTGTTGTCACATAGTGACAGAGGTAACAGTTCCTCAGAGAGGTACCACATATGCCGTTTAATGGATACAAGTACCTTGTTGACGAGTTCAGGATCAGATGCCTAAAAGCCAGATGTTGGTTATTGTTCAGATTGCACATTATGATTTTGAATCTTGATTTTTCATTGTTCAATATTTTACATGACGAAAAAGAAGAATTGTTACCTGAAACTGAAGAGTATTCTCCCAGAACTCTAAATCCACCCGGGGAGCAACTGCAGGAATCATGGCCTGAAGGAAGAACTTGCCGTATAAGAAGAGAGTAAACCTTGCAATTCTAACCACTTGTTGCAATTCTCTAGGAGTAACAATGTGTGGAGGAAGCTCTTTAATATTTTACACACTTAATAACCTCCTAAAAAGGAACCAAACCCCAATTGTGCTAAGCTCAACTCCAAAAAAGTGATTTTTTGGGACATCAGAGTGTGGGAGGGTGAGGAGGCAGACCTCTATCCAGTTGGCTGTCAAACCTGGTTCTCTTACCAAGCGGGCATTGTGCGAAACTTTGCAGAACAACTCAACATATCTGATGATTGGATCAGAGAGGACTACCAGGAGCTAAATGAGCTCTTGATTGTGTTTTTCAATGGCACAGTAAGGCTCAGTATTCACTTCTCAATGCATTCTACCTGTATTATTCAACCTGTAACATATCACCTATTATTAAGAAGTGTACAATTACTATAATTATTGAGTAATATGCGCAGTACTTGTCATCTTGATTTTAATTTGAGAGATATCTTGGTATGTAGGTCCAAAGACGAGGTTTGGGTGGTAACATTTACAACTACCAGTGGCGTATGAAAAGACCAGGTGCAGTTAGCCATGCGCGGTTTATGTCAAAGGCAATATATCTCATCAAAATATTGATGACTAGGCACCAGCTTCCTCCACACATTGAAAACTTTGGTGGGGAAAGGTCATGGTTAATTTTTGACCTCTTTCAAGTAGATGTACACTGGATGGAATTTAATCCCGACAACTGGGATCAGTTTCCAGAGTATATTAGATTTAAGGAGCTCGTTACTTCCATGGAAGTAGTTAACGATTGTGCAGAACGGGCAATCAAGGATGTTACCGAGTTCGCAAACTACGGTAGGGTGTGGATCGCCGCGATCGTGTTCAGATGGTGGTTAACCATCACCGCCAGCTTCTTGATTTTAAAAACCTTAACAAACAACAAATGGACAATATGGACAATTTTATCTGAAGAACTGACCTGAAGAACTGATCTGAACTTACTTATGTGATCTGCATATCTATAGCTAAATAAAACATTTGTAATACGTATGAATGTTACCCATTGATTTCAATCTTAAAATATGTCATTTTTAGCCTCATTTCAGAGTCTTTTTGGAGGGTATATACCCAAATCTCAGCAGTATTCTTACTTAGAGTGGTAATGTGGTGCACAACCTTTCATTTAGCCTTCATTTTTATGAACAGAAGGTGAGGTAGGTTTCCATTATTCTTCAGTAAATCTGGTCAAAAAGTGCGATTTTTGCCAAAAACGTTACATTTTTAGGTCTAATTCCAACAACTGAAACATCGATCTGTCTCTATAATATTTTACACACTTAATAAACTCCCCAAAAGGAACCAAACCCCAACTGTGCTAAGCTCAACTCCAAAAAAGTGATTTTTTGGGACACCCTACTGTATAAGTATGTAATTGTCTAATTGTTAACTTCATAATGTATTTAATGACTATTTTAAAATGTATTTTTATATATATGTCACTCTGCCACACTGATACCTTTCATGTGTCACTGTTGTCAATAATAAAAGCAAAAAAAGAAATAAAAGTAACATAAAAAAGTTTTCTAAAGAATCGAAATATTTTTGTGTGACTACATAAACTTTGTGTGAATAGAGCAAGCTCTGTATGATTTATGTCAACACTCAACACAGCAAGCCATGTTAATTTTGGTAGCTATTGCTCCATAACATGCTGCAAGCAGCAAAATTAAAGAACCTTACTTGAGCACTAGCTTTTGTCTGTGCCAGGTTTCAAAGCAACAAGAAAATGGAAATAGACCTAGCCATAGCTACTCCTTTATTGCTTGTGCTGTGTAGTTTGTGATAGCCACACAAGCTATATGTACAAAGAGCATGGCATGTATAATTTATTGAAATGGAGCAAGCCATAGTTTCCAAGTCAATAGAGAAAGCCATATTGAGTAAAAAAGAATGCCACACAGAGTTCAAGTCAATACAGCGTACGACAGCAACAAGGGTGTTAATGTTTTTTCAACAAATTTTACAAAATTGCCTTTTCTTTTTTGGGGGGTGGGGAATTAAAAATTATCACTGTATATAACCATGATGGGGATCATCAACTCACGTGGGGTACCTTATTTGACAATTGGTATGGCAATGGACCCACACTTTAGAAACTGCTATGAGAGAGAATACCTTTTGAGGTATGGAAATGGTCAAATTTTTCCACTTTCTGGTATGAAAATGACTTTTGAAAATATGTTACCTCTCACTTGTGACATTGGTCTAGTACATGTAGTTACACAAAGATCTGCCTTTTTCCTGGCTTTTAGACATTTTGAATGGCCTTGGTCTTATGTCTGAATATTTGGTATGTTGCCCTGCAATTTAAATATCCATTGTTGAAGTTCTAGGAAATAAAGTTGTACTGAGTTTTACTTACTAAAGTTCCATTGAAATAGAAACATTTATATTTCAATTTTATCATATCTCGAGGCCCTGCTTCTAACATGAGCTCATTTCTCGCAATATCAGTGGGGCCTGGATAGACACCGTCCATATAAGGATGAGGTGACTTGAGGTGAACAAGTCACCTACATCTAATTTTATACAAGGGGTGCCCTTGTCATGGTCATAAACAACAAGGGGGATTGCTCCCATGTGAATCCTTTGGAAGCTAAGTTCCATGTAGGTGTAAATATAAATAATACTTTGTCATTTCTGGACTAAGTACTTGATCTGGAGATGAATATTATGGAAATATCATGACCGAATTATTCCCTTCCACTGCCAGGCAAATGAAAACCGGGAGGATGCCAATCCCGGGATGCCAATCAACTTGAACGGTAGAAATGCTTGCTTCGAAATTTCGTTCAGTGTGAAAACAAAAAATGCACTGAACGAACTTGTTACGGATAGTATTTTAACAACATATAGATCTAATGGCCACCGAGGCGCTATTGATGATATATAGAGTAGAGTCTAGTGTTGTCGCGATGTGCCATAATCGTACATCGATGCATCGGCAATTTTCAGTAGTAAACATCGATGCACATCGCGATGTACATCGAGAAAAAGTTCGAGAAAAGTGCACTGAAATACGGAACGCTAATGCACTAAAATATCGAACAGAACAAATTAATAAGAGTACGCTGGTACATCCGGGAACATAGTAACGGTGAAATGAAAGTAAAGTAATTTTTTAAGATTAATGGTTCATTTCGACTAGCTAAAACATTTTTAAAGCGAAAGAATATCAGAAAACATTTGAAAATGAAATAAGACATGAAAAAATGTAAGCAATTTGCGTCAAAATAAGATAAGAAAGGGCGATTTTTAGCAAATTAAATTTTTTTAAAAACATCGATGTTTTGTTTCAGACATCGATGCATCGTCAGAACCAGCTTTGGCGATGTATATCGCGATGTATCGATTAATCGCGACAACACTAGTAGAGTCTAGTTGTAAGTTAGCCCACAATCTTCAATCGTACAGTCATATGATCGATTAGATACGTGACGTGAGGCAGCTCAGGTTATAATGGCTTACATGTCTTACATATTGAATGATTAACTGACTAAAATATTGGAAATATATTTCTGGGCCTGATGGAAATTTTTATCAAGTTCGGAATTATTTCCTGATAGTACGTAGCCTAGCTAGACTAAATCTAATATTATTCTTGAATGAGACCAACAGGAGGAAATCTGCTAGAGGTCCCTTTCTGAAATAAACAAGGGTGTAGATCTACAGTGGACTCTGAAAGAGAGACAAGGAAAGGCTGGTCTCTGACATCTCCTTTTTACTGGCCAATCATAACAGCCTATTAATCAGCATCAAGAGTCTTATTAAGCTTGAACAAATGCCTGAGTTGACATATAAAGAATGTCTACAATTGCGGCAAAATTATATTGGGTAAGTGTATTTTATTCTTCCTAAGTTAAGGGTTTTCGTAAAACACCGACCGCCGACCACCGACCAGTCACTCTCCACAGTTGGGTACATGTGGTCGGTGGTCGGCTGACGGTCTTTTACATAAAGATGAAAAAATGCAAAATTAGAAGTAAAACTAAAACTGGGAATCCAATGACTATAGTACCTTTACTAGGTCGTGATTTAAAAACGTATAATTATCATTTCAAATCACGATGAAAACGTTACATCGTCGTGGTGTGTAATGTCATATTTTTAAGTGATGTTTCAGTTGTTAGAAGACCAATTTCATCCTGGTTAGTCACTTTGGAAAAAAACGCACGTAACATTGCATTAAGTTCATTCTTCATTCATATGAAACGCAATAACAAAAACACACAAACATCGTCGATGTTGACTTCGTAACGTTATGTTTGATTTCTCAGTTGTTAAACGTCAACTGGTAAAAACTACATTTGATATGACAAAAAAAGCTTTCTAATGGTGTACTGAAATGGTAAGTCACTTTTAATCCCGACATGGGCATTCAACTAGAGTTGAATGCCCATGATCCCGATAAGAGAACGCATGTAACATTATATCGTGTTCAGTATTCAGTAGGCTATGACGATAACAAATCATTTTTGTTCCGAAATTGTTAAATTTCAGTAAAAAATTAGGATAGATTCCCGTAGAAACGATAGGTTGGTTAATGATAGGTTAGGACCTAAGGCAGGACAATTAATCGAGAGGAGACGGACATGCCCAATTTGTTTGCTTGCCATTCGTTGCAAGGTACAAAATCGGTAAAAACTGTTGCCTAGTCCAACGATTGACATTCAAAATCAAATTATTAATATTTTAAGGCTACAAATATGTTCGGTCTTCTACATGATATGGTCAGTCTTTTACACATTTTCTTCAAACCCTGTTTTGAGGCTACCAGTGGAAAACACCGACCGGTCGGTGGGGTCGGTCTTTTGCGTAAACCCTTGCAATAACCTTAAAAGTGGGTGCTGTTCAAAATGCTACAATCTGATTGGTCAGAATGGTGAAAACTGTCTGGCAAATCTATGTTTGAATGTTTTGATGATCAAATATCGGTAGGGGCAATTTTTGTTCAAATATATGTGTCATCTCAACATCTTTTGATATCTTTTTACAATATTTCTCTGGAAAAACCTCAAAAAAGTGATCCCGATACAGCAAAAAACACGCTGAAAAAAACGAATGCATTTCGTTCTGACTTTTCACGCGGATACCGTATATGTCACGCCTTTTCGCCAAAATATTTTGTATCATTTTTTTTTTCTTATATACATTTTCATTACACAAGACAAGATACAAGTGATTTGTTATGAGCCGTTATTACAAAGGAAATAGAAATACAAAGATACCAATTCGACACACAAACCCATCCAATCACACGACATTCATTCATATCATGCATACCACACACATACAATCACTCATCAAAAATATTTTCCAGTATATATATATCTTTTATTATCCCATCGAACGAAGTTCGGAGGGATATAGGGAATGCCTCTGTCCGTCCGTACGTACGTACGTCTGTCCGTCCGTCCGTCCTGGCAATAACTCAAATACCATTGGCCCGATTTTGTTCATATTTTGTACACATATACCCTCTGGGGGTAGAAGTTCTGCTTGAAAGACGATTTTCAAAATGGCCGCTCATTTAAAAATGGCGGCCATTTTAGTGCTGATTTTACATTCTCAAAATTCATTTCGTTCGTTGCGTACCTTCACTACCTCTCTGACGTTGTTAAAATAGTTCTAAAATTCCCAGGGCACGGTCTTAGAAAGCTTCAGAAATTAGTACTTTCTTTATTACGCAATCAACAACGCCAAAAATTTGATATAACATAAATCATAACGTTTACAAATGATTTTGCCATCGATATTGGTAATCAATGTTGTATTTGATGTGTTTTTAGGTAAAAATCTCCGCGGAACAACAAATTGTAAAGTGTCAAGATCGATAATCACTGGGTTCAACATTATTACACGTTTTCAAGATGGCGGTGTCAAAATTTTCCAAAAACGCTTCAAATAATATTATGTTGATTTCTGGCGAATTCACCAATGTCATAACTAATTGTTATCTAACAACAAGATAAAGAAATATGTAAGAAATCCAATTTTATCGATTAAAACATCTCATCGACATGTGGTATTCGTTTATTAGACGTTGAAAATTACGAATATGGAGATGACGTCACTTCAAAACGAACTGCATAGCAACAGTGCTAATAAACAATTTCTGATCGGAAAGTCCTTGCAAATTTCTAAGACAGTAGTATTCACTTATTTTAACAGTTTGTTACGAATTACTCAATATTTTTCTTACGAGTGAATTCTTACTACATTAGAAATAAACATGTTATAAAATATAACGAATAAAATCAGTAGCAAAGGCAAAAAAATACATTTTTTTGAAGGAGGTCAAAATATTTAGAAGGGTAAATTTCGCGGGAATTTAAAGATCTGCATGAGGTAAGGCACAGGAGGTACGGATGACACTGGACGAAAGGCTCGGAGACTGCTGATTTTACAGTAATTTAGGTGCAATATGTAAAATTGTAATGGCAATATGTTTTAAATGTAAAAAAATTATATAGGACATTGATAAAGCTAGAAATATAGATATTGAAGAAGCACATGGCAGCCACCTTGAAAAATTTTACGACTTTTGCTATAACTGAAGAAGTAGTGGAGCAATTTTGTTCATATTTGGTATGTGAATACTATTTAAGCATGGCACACTGTCTAATGACACTTTTGGTAACGTGTTTTACTATAACTCGAAAAGTAGTGGAGCGATTTTGTTCATATTTGGTATGTGAATGACATAAGCATGGCACACTGTCTAATTATTGTATTGTATTGTATTTTGTTTACCACCAATAAAGGTGAGCAATACTTCTTGGGTATGTCTTGTATATATACGGTCGTAATTTACGTAATTAACATGGAAGATAGACCCAGAAACCCCCCCTTGAAGGAGGCCTGTGTTCTTTTATGTGCACTTATACATAGACATATAAGTACACACCACAGCCTTTTGTAAGAGTTGCGGACCACTCAGTCAAACACCCTGAAGTACTTCACGCAAACAAGCAAATTTAGTCTTGCCCGAATCTGGGATCGAATCCGGGACCTATTGCGTAAGAGGTACCTGTGCCACCGCTGAGCTACACGGGTGGACTACTAATGACACTTTTGGCAGAAGGTGGCAATTTTGAAAAATGGCCACCATTTTAACGTATTTTACTATAGCTCGAAAAGTGGTGGAGCGATTTTGTTCATATTTGGTATGTGAATACTATAAGCATGGCACACTGTCTAATGACAGTTTTGGTAGAAGGGGGGCCATTTTGAAAAATTTCCACCATTTTAAAGTATTTTACTATAACTCGAAAAGTAGTGGAGCGATTTTGTTCATATTTGGTATGTGAATACTATAAAGAAAAAGCATATTACTTCTTCTGATGACAACTTGGCTAGTGAGCAACCATTTTGAAAATGTTGGCCTTTCTTATGTGTGTTATTTTATGATATTTGATTTATATTTCGTTTGTAAAAATGCCAGCCATTTCTGTTCGATGGGATTCGCTACGCTTGGGTGTTGCCGTTGTTCTGGTTGACTCTTCTGAGACCTTCGGTTAGATAGGCTTGAAATCCAACATAAGCCAACGTAAGTCACTCATGTGAGGTGTTCCCTACAGACTGTATATGCGGATGTGCCGCTAAAGTGGGTCACCTTTTCACTGAAAAAATCATGGTAATTGGAGCCTCTTTTCAGGAACAAAAATCTCATTATATGCATGACAACATTTTTCAGTTTTGAGTGCACAAAGAGTACATTAGCGCTAATTTACACTCAACTAATAATCTTACAATGTCAACTGATAATAATACTTAAAGGTGCAACAATTCGTGCAGAAGGGCCATTCAACGATCATGGACCAGTGTCAAAATGTATTTAAGTTTGGATATTATATCACAACTAACATCTATTTTTATTATCTACAAAGAAACCCTCTAGATAAACATTATTTTAGCTGATATTCCTATTGAAACATGGTGGATCTTAAAATTGAAAAAGTGGATTTCCCCCTTTTCAAGCTTTGAACTGAATTTACACTTCTTAATGCTGAAATTGATAGTTTATCCATATATTTTAAGAAAATAGGTATGTCAAAGAAGATGTTAAGCCAATGTTGCCTTGTTAGCTCAGAAAAAGTTAAAATTTTCCTATTTTCTCTCTACAGGCCTTGTTGCCCCTTTAAATTACTATAGTTTTATTAGTAGTTTTTCTGAATGTGTGATTCAATTCTAGTAGCAGATGTAAAAAGACAATACAGTATAAGGTTCCAATAGCATAGCTGTATGTGAGGCTAGCCACATCATAACAAAATCTGTATGCCATGTTGGTTGTCTGTGAAAATATTTGTTCATCCACTATTAAAGTTCAATGCAATTGAGACCTTTCCATTTGAGGCCAGCGAATAATATCAATTGTGTTATTCTCTTAATATTGACATAATAATGTGGTTGTGTTAATTTATAAGTATTAATTGTAGTACTATTATGTTTAAATGGGACATTGTACATAGAATGCACACCATAATTATTTTGTCATTGGCTGTAATGTTAACTTACAATGTTCTCAAGGAAAAACCCTTACATCAAATCACAATGCCTTATACCACCAGAGAAAAATAATTCAAATTGGTGCATCGAATTTGTCAATTTGTTTCATCAACGGCCACCAGGCCAATCAAAGTAGTGACATCTATTCTATAATATACAAGTAAATAGCCTTATAATACTTCAACTTTGACATGACCTTGAACTAATCTTGCTGTAGTATTGTTATTGTTAACATTCTGAGATATTGTCAATATGAATAAATAGCCTTATGTAATAGTTCAACTTTGACATGACCTTGAACTGTGCATGTATACTTACATAAGTAC